ACAGTACGATCGCTTCCTCTACAGACTTTCCAAATAAGGTAGTGATGGAAGTGATAGTTTGCTTCTCATGAGCACAATTACCCGCCAGAAATAATGTGGAGGCTTGAAAAGGGAACTTTACTGTTACGAAAAAAACAAACAAACAAAAAAAAAAAGGGAAATGAGAATATTCATGCCAGATATATATTTATACCAGAAACTTCCTTCTTCCGGTGTTTGCAGACGATGAGAATTATGAAGACATTCGTCGGAAAACTATCCAAAGCAAAACTGGAGCAAAGCTTGGTAATTCTCCTGCAGTCGAACTAAAAAAAAAAACATGTCGAGTTCTGATGGCCTAGGGCAGTGTGGTTTGGATTCGTTAAAACGGTCGTATTGGATGTCAGTGACATGGCATGAAGTTTATGAAATCGTCGGTGCATTAGCGCTCTAAAAGAAAATAGGTACCCAAAGGGTACATGTGTGGGGTACCTCATTTGCATTAACAGACACGAGCCGATGACAATGGTGTGGGATACGACAGGCATCCCACACAAAAAAAGTATAAGTGAACCAAGACATCTGTCATGGCAATTTTATTCCGAAATGAAATCTAATTTCGCTGGGTGGCTTTTATTTTTCAGTCCCAATATCAACATCGATTAAGTAGATTACATTCTCCACGTTATCCCATTGACAGGAAAGCTTCATTTCACAGTATGACGCAAGGTTTTTAATTTCTTTTGATTCTTTTATACCAGCTGGTCTACAAAAGATAAAAATTACTGAGACCGTCAATATCGTAGAGCATATTGCGTCGGCAGACACCTCAAAAGCACCAATATCAAATATTTTTCTAGCAATTTCTTTTGTATTTATTCAAGTGCGAAACTCGAGATCATACATGTACCCAGACCTTGTCATGGTTTATGAGGCACTGAATTAAGGGGGTCGGCAGACACTTCAAAAGAACCGATACCAAATACTTTTCTAGCAATTTCCTATGTATTTATTCAAGTGCAAAACTCGAGATGATATATGTATCTTGTGCTAATGAGCTTTGTGAGGCCCAGACGTTGTCAAGGTCGGCAGTCGACACCTCAGAAATATGTACACCAATATCAAATAATTTTCTAACAATTTCCACTGCATTGATTCAGCAGCAAAACTCCAGATCTTCAGCTATCAAAGGCTTGATTTCACCTACGGCTACGGCTACAGCTAAATCACCAAGAAGGTTCTGTGGCCCGTCGAGAAACCCTTTTAGTTACGCTATGTATCCACTAAAACTAAAAAATTCACAGACCTTTATTAGGTCTGTAGAAGTCGCCAAACAACTCAAAACATGATAAAAAGACTTGTAATATCCAGATATAATTATTTTCACAATATAAACAAGCTAGCTAGCTATGAATTAAATCTTTATGAAAAGAGAAGCATGACGGCTAATAGAGAATCCTGCTATGGATGCCATGCATGAAAAAAA